TCAACCGCAGAGTGGATGAAAAAGATGTGCTATTTTTATATAATGGACTATTACTCAGATATAAAAAGGATGATCTTGAAGCCTTCATCAGTAAATGGCGACGTTAGTGAAAGAAGTAAGAATCATATTTATCAATATCACATTGTGCGTCTAGTGTAAAAAATAATAAAAAATGTACGAGTAATAAAACCCAAAATGTGAAATTGCTATTATAAAAAAGACGAAAAAATTGCTCTAAAGGATATAACTGCATATATGTTTAAGTGTGTAGTACTGATAACCACATTACTAAGTTTTTGTTGGATCATTTAACAGAACTGTTTGCAGTCTCACTGTTTCAATGTCCGCTTTGTATGCTTTAATTTTGTAACTTGAATGACTATTTCTAAGAGGACAATATGTAATTTATCAACTAGTGATTTTTTACTGTTTATTTTTGTTTGAAACTGTGTATTATTTCTATCCTTTTTTTCTGTTTCTTTTTCTCTTTAAAATTTTTTTTAAAATGATGTGATATTTTTATACAATGGAATGCTACTCAGCTATAAAGAAGGATCACATTGAAGCTTTCATAGGTAAATGCAACTTGAGTCTATACTCGTAAGTGAAATAAATCAAATTCACATGTGTAAACACCATATTGTCTGTCTAGTGTAAGAAACTGAAAGTGTAAATGAGATCCAACATCTTCAATAAATAATGTGAAAGGTCAAGAAAGTGCTCAAATAAAATAACTCAGAGAAAAAGAGAAAAGGAAGGTAAAAGAAAAAAGAAAGAAGTGTGTATATATACAGGTAAGTTAGCTAAGATGATTTTACTACTAATTCTATTAGTTCTTGGAACAAAAAATTAACATTCATAGGATTAGATCAATTTTGCATGTTTGTATCTGGTAATGTGAGGAACTCTTTTGAAGACAGCTATGCTAGATAACAACCTTGGTTAAGTTCCTACCACCTTGTTTTGAAAGCCTGTATTGGTATTGTTTTGGGCTCTTTTTATTGTTACTTAATTGTCTCTTTGTTTCTTGTTTTTCTTGTGTTTTGTTTTGTTTTGTTTCATTTTCCCCTCTAATACAGAAAGCATAGATGTACATAGATAGGCTTTTACATGCCTAGAACTCCTTAAGAGTTTACAAGAACTGATTTTACTACGTGTGATTGTATAAACAGCCACTTTGAATAAAACAAGACATCATGATAGCCATTGCTGATTTTGTATCATCTTGTTTTGAAGTCCAGCAATGTTTTTATTCTTGGTTTTGACTGGTTTTAGTCTGTTACTTGATTTCAATTTGTGTGAAGATATGCACAGCTATTTTGAAGAGAATAAGCAACATTATGGTAGCCACTGTTTATTTTCCTATTGTATGGTTTTCAAGGCCTGTAATGCTTTCATTCTTTTGTTTTGATTGGTTTTATACTACTGTGTTTTGTTTGAATTCATTGTGTGTGAAGATATGGATGACTATTTCGAAGAGAACAAAAGATATTATGGTACTGTTGGTTTCCTGTTGTCTTGTTTTGAAATCCTATGTTGCTTGCCTTATTTTATTCTGATCTGCTTTGTTCTGTTCTGTTTTGTTAAAAACCTTTCACATAGGATTATAAAACTGCTACCAGATTTTTTCTAAAGCTATGGTATAATCCAGTTAATGTTGATTTATCCAAGTGAGACACTTCATTTTAAGCTGGCCTTTTTTAACATATTTGGAAATTTAACATGTGAACAAAGTTAGAGATAATTCCAGTAAAACAGTAGTTTTGTCAGGCTAAAAAGCTGTGTAAATTCCTCAGGAGAAGCCACAGAACCAGTATCTTCTACAGCTTAGGGAGAGACAATAGCCATAACCGTAGCCACCGAAGCCATCATAACTACCACAGCCACCATAACCGCCATAGCCATCGTAGCCATAGTGCAGGCCACCACAGTAGTTGCCATAGTAACACATGGTGTCAGGAGAGGACTGTTCTATTGAGGATAAGGAGGGAGATGTCTGGGCCACCTTTTAGGAAGGACCTTTTGTACCTCCTTGGTGGTGGGTCAGGGAAACCATAGGAATTAAAGCTTCATTATCTCCCTAATGAGCTTTAGACAATATTGTCAATATCTTTAATTAGTGAGACAATAAAGTCTTCATGCCTGAAATTATTTTTCTCTTGTATGAGGAATTATTAAAGGCTTTAAAAATAAAACTTGCATTCTATTTTCAAGGCTCTGGTTCATTATGTATTTAGTTAATTATCACCTGGTTACATGGTATGATGTAAGCAATGAACACAGGTATTTCATCTTTTTCTTTTTTTTTTTTTTTTTGTCTTTTTCTTTCTTATTGGTACCGGGGATCGAACTCAGGACTGCCTGCTTGCAAGGCAGGCATTTATGCTGCTGAGCTAAATCCCCAGCCCCTGATATCTCATCTTTTTGTTTTGTTTTCATTCCTCCATGCAGATTTCTGTCTCTGTGTCTGTCTGTGCCTCTGTGTCTGTCAGTCTGTCTGTCAGTCTGACATTGTTAAAAATACTAAAAAGGTAAGAAACATATAATCCTACCATGATGGAAAGAATACTTTCCTCTGTATAATATCTAAACATAGGTAATACAGATTCTTTTTTGTCATTTGTTTGCTAAATTAATTTTGAAAGAAACATTCACATCCATTGATCTACAACGGGACTGGGTTGACACCACAGAGGCAGAACAGATACTGAGACAAGGACCAGAAGGCCCTCAAAATCCAAAAATTCTGTTGATGGCAAAAAGTGATTGCCTTTCTCTGGCTGATCAGCATACTGGTGAGATATGCCTAGATGTATTGCTGGGTCACTGAAGAGACCCAAACCCTTTTCCAAAATTCAGCCTTTTATCTTGTTTTATCTGACTATCTACTAAACTTCTGTGCTTTATGTTCTTTACAGTTTTATTGACTACATGTAATCTGTTTCCACAGGGTATTATTATTTTTTTTGTTTGACTAATGAGTAAGCTTAATGCTATAGAGATAAGTATTTTTGTTTATATATTTTATGAAACTCATCATGTATCTCATTTTTAATATATTAAAACTTCAATTAGAAATCATTATTTTATTTGAAGTTAACATTCACTTTTATCTTAATTAATTTCTTTCCTTTTTTGTTTCTTTGAGACAGGGTCTGTCTATGTAGTTCACGCCAGCCTTGAACTTGCTTGAACAGCTGGCCTCAAACTCATAACAATTCTCCTGCCTCAGCCTCCAAAGTGCTGGGATTACAGACATGAGCCACTGCACCAAACTTATTTCCATTATTTTTTATCTTTTTTCAGTGTCTATGTTTTTGTCTCAGTAACCACCTTTCCTAAATAAATCTATCATTTCAAATTATGAAAAATTGAAAAAAATTTTATTCATCATGTAAATTTCATGTTTATTTCCTTTTAAGATAATATTTCATACTATATCAATTTAATATTGTATTTTATTATGTTGGGACTTTAAATTGTATAAAATTTTAGATTTATTGTTATTCTTAATCTCTCCTTTTCATGTCATTGCATATTCTTCGCATTCTCTTTGTTTCTGTTGCTTTATTTCAAACAACTTTTCTATTTGTAGGTGACATATTTATCTACCTTAGTGAAGATTTTAGTTTTTCTAACTAGTTTCCAGATACTGAGTTGTGCCTCTGAATGATTTTAATTGGTTTTCTCCCTCTAGGAATGAATATCTTTTAAAACTGGTGAATAGATATATTTCAACATTAAAATAAGCACAATACTTTATATTAAAAAATGGCTTAGTTCCTATTTTTCTTCCTTTGCTGAATTCCACTTATGAAAACATTTTGCCATTTCATGGGCCCAAACACAGCTCTTGCAGTCTCTGTAATATTATGTAATCTGATTTTTCCAATTGTTTCATTTGGTCATACATTATCAAAGTATGTTTCAGTTTAATAATTCACATAAATTTATTATTATGCACACTGCTCAGTTTTTCGAGCACTGTAGTTTATATTTGATTAATGGTGATTTTTTCAGTTTTAATATACATTTTACAAATTTTCTTTAATTTTCCTCTGTTTATTAATTATAGCTCTTCTAAAATTTCATCTCTTCAAGCTCCAATGTTTTTCAAGTTTCAGCTAGCTTCTGTTGTGTGTTGCTGCTGCCTTCACATAATTCTGTAGGTGTTGATAAGCCCAATACTTTTTATTAAATTAATATTGCATTTTAGCATAAATACTTAATGGTTGCCCCTAAGCTACTAATAATGTTTGACTGTCTGATTGAGCTGAGTTTGGACATTTTCTCCATGCCATGTCTACCCTAAAGCTGGTCACCATGACCAACAGAAACTTCTTCTTTTAGGGACAGGTCCTAATACTTGATTCAAGTGAAGGGAATATAACTAAAATAACACCTTCTTGACTCAGTAGAGAGAACATTTTTAAAAAACAGAGAAACATTTCACAGAGCAGAGCTATAGGTGCTATAATCCAATCACTGGTGTTGCGAATGAGAAAGCATACAGTCAGAAAGTTTTTAAAATTATCAGATGTAAATGCAGCTATTATTGTACAAGTGACCATTTTAAAAACCTAGACAAATATCAAAAATGTAAAGAAAAAGTAATGAGAATAAAACCACAAACAAAAACAAAGTCATAGGATCTGTTACTAAAATATTGCTATTGTTACTCAGTATAGATGCCAAATTTTTGCAAAAGAACTTTCTTTCTCTCACTTTGTACAGTGTCTACCCTATCTACCCTTGTTTCTCTTACATTCTTATTTTTTTCCCATAATGACATAACTCCACATATGCGATTAATCACACACAAAGCACATTAGCAAAATAGCTAGTGTAGCAGAACTGTAAGTAAACAGTACTTTGGGGTACGATATAGCTGATTTAATAATGAATTTATGCAAAAAATGAGAGAATTGATCACATTTTACATATCATTATAAAGTATAGAAACTTTTCTATAAATTATGCAATAATCCAAATGAAAATGGTGAATCAATATGACATATAACAGTTTATTTTATTCTAGATAGTTCCAACTGTAGTTGGAGTTTGCAGACTTAAAAATTTATCATTTAAAAATAATTGAAAATAATGACAGTAAAACAGGAGATTGTAACCAAAGGCTTTGAAGATGTAGAAACTCCTCAGTAGAAGCCATAGGACCAGTATCTTCTACAGCACAGGGGGCGGCAACAGCCGTAACCATAGCAGCCATAGCTACCATAGCCACCATAGCCATAGCCACAGCCTAAGCCACAGCCATAGCCGCAGCCCAGGCTACCATAGTAGTTGCCGTAGTAGCACATGGTGTCAGGAGTGGACTGTTCTGTTGAGGATCTGAAGCAGGTGTCTTCTGTCTGGATGTCCCTGTCTGTGAGGGTCTTTTATACCTCCTTGGAGGTGGGCAGGAAACCACAGGCAGCACAGCTTCCTGTTAACTCACCAATGAGCTTCAGATGTGGTCATCATTGTCTATACTTGTTGAGAAAACAAGGCCCTTGTGATGGACATAATTTTGCTCTTGCATCAGAAATCCTTCCCCCAATTAAGGCCCTATAAAAGAAAACGTTTGTTCTATTTTTAAGATTCTATTCATTCTACATTTAATTGTAGACATATGACCTGACTACATGTTATGGTGCAAATCATAAAAATTTAATTTTTACCTTTGCTTCATTTCCATTACTCCTGAGGTACACATTTTCCCTCCATCCATCCATCCTTTCCTCTCTCCCTTTCTTTCTTTCTTTCTTTCTTTCTTTCTTTCTTTCTTTCTTTCTTTCTTTCTTTCTTTCTGCCTTTTCTTGAAAATCTCATAAGTATCATCTTATGTTTTCACACTTTACTCAAGAGAAATGAGCTGGTTACTGCTCTTACTGGTAAATCCATGGCTGGTTACCGTCACATGTGTACTGAGTGGATATTTAATCTATACTTAGCAATGAGTAGATGACTTCAAGCTTTCCAGAAAATAAACATTCATTTTATGCACAGAAACTATCCATGTTCTGTGATCCCTTTTATCACTACATACAAATCTATTTTAGATTAAATTGTAAAGCAGAGCTTCATTATATTAGATCATCTATCCTCAATCTATTTTTAAACTACAATTTGCTTTTCAACATGGCCAAGGTCAGAAACAAAGGATACAAAAGTAAACTCTGCCACATTGAGACAAGAACAAGTGACACTGACAAAAGTAATGGAAGGGAAAATGAAAAAATGCCATTCTTATGTGGAGAGAAGGAAAAATAATTTGTTCCTAATATCCTTAGTATTGTACAAATGCATCTTCACGTTTTTAAGTAATATTTTAAAGGAAAACATTCAGATTCATTTTTGTACAGTCAGGTGTTGCTTTGACACCACAGTGGTGGAAATCAGTAGACCGCACAATGCAGTGTTGACTATTCATTCTTGTGTAAAAAGTGTTTACCTTCCCTTGATTAATCTGTGAGAACTGCTGTACTTCTTGCTTGTTCTAACACAGTCAGTGTTACTGCTCATGGAATAGAGCTTGTCATTGCAAATTCAGCTGTGTACCTCCACACGTGCCGCTGTGCACTAAACTTTCATATTTTCTGATGTTTCCAGCTACATTGACTTATACCACTTATCGTGATAGGTTAACTTTGTTCTTTTAGGTAAATGTAGGGCCTTAGAGCTCTGAGTATGTTCTTTTATGGTTCTTTTAAAGTATCATGTTTGGTGGAGGTTAATACTTCAAAGAGAGTTATCATTGTTATCAATAGATGTTAACATTCATTTTTATCTTAATTTCATCAGTTTTTGAATGTCCATTTGTTGTCTCAGCCACTTTCCTTTTCTCTAAATAAATCTATCATTTTGTTATGAAAAGTGAAAACATGAATCTTTTTCTATTCTTGTGATGTCTATGTTTATTTACTTTTAGCACAACATTTTATATTTCTCAGTATGATGTTTTTACTTTGCTGTGTATGCAGTGTTGACGTGAACTTACTGACTGGTGGTTACCGATGATCTGTCCCTGTCGTATCAGTGCACCTAGAGCTCTCTTTAGATATATAAAGGAGTTTTGCTGCCAACCTTATTATTTATCTTTGTAGGTTAACATACTTGTTGTATCTACTTCAGTAGATACAACATAATTCTGTAGGTGTTGATAAGCCCAATATTTTTTGAACGTAATTTTCATGTACTGATTTGAGTCTATATGTAATTTGAACTGACTTTCTCTTGCCAATGAATGCTTTTCAGGATTTGGGAACTCATGTCTTTCAACAATTTTTAAAAAAGTATTCAGTATTTTCCTGTTTAAAAATGGTTTCTACTTTATCTTCTTCCTTAGTCACATTCCATTTATATATATGTATGTTGTGTAATTGCATGAGTTCTAGCACATTCTTTATATACTTTTCAATATTTTACATTCAGAGTTTTCGTATTTTGCTTTAGTTGACAATTTATCAACATCAATTTCAGTGTAATAGTTCATATAAATTTACTGATTTATAAACATTGTACATTTTTGGGAACTATACATTTGATTCTCTGGTGAATTTTTCAGTATATATTCAGCAAATTTATTTTAATTTTCATCAATTTGCTATTTGTAGGTTCTAAAAATCATCTCAGCAAGCTCCAATATGTTTTTCCTGTTTCAGTTAAAATTTATTGTCTGTTATTTTCTTTAAATGCTTCTATGATGTTCATAAGCCCAATACATTTAATTAAAATTGTAGGTGTTCCATAAAACCATCATATTTTACCATAGAGATTTTATGTTTTTTCCTAGGGTGCTAAAATGTCAGATTGAATGAGCTGCACTGGCCTGTACCTCCAGTTACTCCAGTGATATAGGCAGTACAGTCACTTGAGCTCAGTAGTTCAGGTCCTTCTTGATAGTAAATGAAGATCACTCTAAAAACAAAGAAGAGCAAGTGATAGAGAGAGAAAGAGAGAGAGAGGAGAGAGAGAAGAGAGATGGGAAAAGAGCGAAATTGAGGGGAGGTGAAAGAAAGGAAATAAAAGGAGAGGAGAGGAGGAGAGAAAAGGGGAGACAAGGAGAAAGAGATCAAGAATGGGGCTGGAGATTTAGCTCAGCGGCATAAGCGCCTGTCTTGCAAGCAGTCGTGAGTTGGATCCCCGGTACCGATAAAAAGGAAAAAGAACAAAAAAAAAAAAAAAAAAAAAAAAAAAAAAAAAAAAAAAGGAAAAAAGATAAGAAACAATATTTCTTCCTGATCTGATTACCACAATCACTAACATAAAGTTGTTATGCAGGACCTGTCTGTGTCTCTTTGGGCCCACCCTACAGGGGACACTTTTTTTCCATGTGGTTTTTATTAGCAAAACCCCAATGCTCATGATTATTTTGTAAGCCCTTGATATGGCCCATTAGCTTAAAAACCAGACTCCTTCAACCCGAGACAAGTTCATTATCTCAAGGAGAAACCATGCTAATTGTGACGCGCAGAATCGCACTGGCACACTGTTTTCAGGTTGTGTTTTCCTCTTGCTATCCATGGCCGGGGTTACCATTTAAGTTTCTGTTTATTATACTTCTCCCAGCAGCCTCTTATCTTCTAGAATCAAGCAGACTGAAATTTCAACTCATGCTTCAAAAATTGTCTACCTTAAAAAATAGGGCCTTTAAACCAGTTTTATTGCATTTCATCCTGAAGGTTTGAATTTCTCAAGTGAAATTAACATCTTTTAGGAGAAATTTATTTCCCTTACTGGTCAAATCAACATACATAAGCACATATATTTGTGAAACACCAGGATTCCATTTAATAAAAGTCATATTCAAATGCTCATTTGTCATCTAGCAAATATCTTATGATTTTGAGAAGTATTTTACTTGGTGTGTATGTACAGTGAGTATATTATTTTCTACAAGTTGAAACAGAAAGCAATATTTTAAGATGCTACTTGCACTCATGCTTTTTTGGCCAGAATTATGATGGTGTCACTTATGTTATGAAAATACTGTTAAACTATCACCTGTTAAGATGTCCCCTAGAGTACTCCCCTACATTTTCAGGTGCTCAGAACGTGGAGTCTTTGGCAGTGTACTGATTATGGGATTTTCTGCTCATCTACTCTTTTCAAGTGACTTTTAAGTGAGTGTGGTATTAGAGGCTGCTCTCTGGGGTTATGTAAGGGAGGGATCCCCCCTTACACTGACTCCTCCTTTCTCGGTTTCCCAAATGTCAGGAGGTGAGTAGCTCAGGCTCTACCCACACGTTTTACGTAACATTTAACACCAGTCAAACATGAGCCCAGAGAAATCTCCCTCTTTTGAGTGGTAGGTGTCACATGTGTGTCCCACAGGCTAGAAAGCAAGTAAGGAAACACCTACATCGTACCTGAGGCAGAGTATTTTTTAAAACTTGAGAAACATTTCATAAAGGCAGAGTTCTAATTGACATAATCAACACAGTGGTACTGGAAATAACAAAGCACACAGACCTGAACCTTTTGAAATACTCAAATGTCATTATAATTAATACTGAAATAAGCCATTTTAAAAACTTGCACGAACAACAAATCAAACGAAATTTAGGTAAGATTAACCCTCCCCATAAAACCAAATTTCTGTTTGTTTCAAAAATGCTAACATTTCTACCCATTAGGTTTACATGCCACTTTAGTGGAAAATTAACCACCTCTCTGCCTCTCTAGGTCCTTGTGAGCTCTCTGTACTGCCTACCCTTCCATCTTTTAGACTTTCTCTCCTGTGACACCACAACCACAAATGTGATTAGTCACACACAAATCTTTAATCAAAATTGCTGAACTACTTGAACAGTAATAAAGAAATATTTGTGATTAAATATAGTTTATTTGAAAATAAATCTTCATACAAAAATTGGGATTCCAAATTGATCATATTTTGTAGAGCCCCAAAGATGAATACAGTAACTTTTCTACAAACTAGCAAACAGAAAACTGCTGATACTGATGAGTCAAAGTGGAATGTTACGGTTTATTTGTTTTTTAGATAGTTTGATGTGTAATTACTGGCCAGGAAGGCATTTAAACCTTTGTCATGTGAGGAGCATTGGAGATAAATCCCATAAAACATCAGGTTCTAATCTACAGGCTACAAAGCTTGGGAAACCCTAGTAGCAGCCATAGGAACAGTATCTTCTACAGCACAGGGGCCACCAACAGCCATAACCATAGCGGTCATAGCTGCCATAGCCACCGCCCGGGCCATAGCCGTAGCCCAGGCCACTGTAGTAGCTGCTGCAGTAGCACATGTCAGGAGTGGGCTGTTCCGTTGAGGAACAGGAAACAGCTAAGTGAGTCCAGTTGTTATCATCTGTCAGGGCCTTTTATACCTTCTCGGTGCT